CAGTATTTCATCGAAGAGACAATAATTCTTGCCTATATTTCTGTATCTCATTGCAACATGAACTTAACTCATTCTTCAAACTGTAATTTTCCTTCATTAAATTCTTTTCCATTTTGCTGGCGAACTCTTCCATAAAGGCTAAGCAACTACTATCATGATCGACTAACAAGCGCACGTTGTTGATCAAATCACTTGACTGATTATCACCTTTTAATTCAGTCTCAGAATTTTCTTTATCCAATTCGTCAATGTTGCAAACGTTGTTGTTCGCCATATCAGAAAATGAAATACGACGGTTTACTTTACATTTGAAACATTTCCATTGTTTGTTCAATTCACACAAAGTACTAAAATATTCGTACGTTATATTAACACACTTTAATCGACATATGGTATAGGAAATAACGGTATTTTCAGCCTTGTAAGGTTTACCAGCTGCAAGTTTCGAAGAGCAGATTTCACACACGTCACTGCCAGTAGCCATCTGCATTAAATGGAGGAAGTCAACGATTACACTCAATCGGTCTATTTTCGACGGCAACAGAACATTTGTTCTGTTGATAACAATTATGCGTATTGGCTGAAAAAATAAGCATTTGTTAAGCCTACAAAATTAAACTTCATGTGTCCCAGTGGTAATGATTACTAAAATTATTATATTTCACTGAAATGAAAATTCAAGGAAAAAAAATCTTAAATATTAGAAAGAGGAAATGATTCAGCTCCTTTTACATATATCAAATCTGTACATACTAGTAAGTGTCGCTGTGGAGGCGAATTCAGCATACTTCCTGGATAGTTTTCAGTTTGATAAACCACACTTCCAATTGCCATTCAACAGAAATCAAACGGTAAATATTTTATAATGAATGCTTTTTTGTTTTTCAATTTTTATGCCTAACTTATCGGTCCTAAACTATACTGTGAAAGTCCAACCTATTATATACTATCAATTGCTTAACGAATATTAGAAATTTTTACGTTATTATACATGTGTTTTTTACTAATGTTCATTCCCCAGTGGCTCAGCAGTATGTCTGCGGACTTATAACGCTAGAAACCATGTTTCGTGGTGGGCAGAGCCCCGATAGTCCATTGTGTAGCTTTGTGCTTAATTCCAAACAAACAAAATACTAATGTTCATTAATAATGTTGCTATGCTATCTGATAAACAGTCTCAAATTTTTAAAGACCTGTTTCATTATACATATTATACGTCATAATATATATATTTAAATAGTATTAACTAATAGACTGCAGGGAAGGCAGCTACTCAAACGCATCCATCACCAATTTTAATCCAAAAGCGGGATTTTACAATCACTCTTATAACGCACCAATGGGCAAATCCAAACAATACAAGAGATGAAATCCAGCCTCACGTCTTACTGTTTGTTTTCCTTCGTACAGATAAGAAAACCTCCACCCCGAGACCGCTAGCCACCATTGGTCCTTCTAGCTTCAAAACTGTTAGAGAGGTTCGCGGAAAAACAAATTCACAAACACACGTGACCGTAGTCTGGTGGAGTTCATGTTTCTACAACATAGGATGAGCAATCCAGTGATATTTGCATATTGTTCATTGTTTTTTCATATTTACTTCCAATACTATACATATATCGCATATCAGTGAATGCCGACAACTTAGAATAAATATTGGATAGGCTTGTTTAATACATCAATTAAACTGCACATTCCTAGTTTTCATCGCTGTACAAATCAATTATCATTATTTAATATTTAAATTATATGTATGATGAAATCTATATAATTCCTAATATTTACACTCATATAGACCTATATTAATTTGTATGAGCCTATAATCTTCCATAACATTAGTGAGAGAGCAGATTATTTAAAGTTAGGATCGTACATTAATATATATCACAAAAATATATTTGTATATACTAGCTTTTATCCCTAGAGAGAGATTAAAATTTATCAGTCTAGTTGAAATTAGGTTCATGAGTTTCCTTAAAGACACTTAATGACCTGTTGTTATGTTTTCTAAATATATCGAACCTTCAGAACATCATACATTTGTTATTTAACCCACCCATAGCAGGTATACTTTTTTTAGCCGCGGTATAGCGGCTCATAGAATGGCTCCAAGTTTTTTTTTTTCATGTAAAAACATTTAGCTCACAACTCCCGTCATCTCTTGAACAATTTGATATCTAATTACAGTTTTGAACTCAGCAGGTCAAACCCTTTCTATTAATATATTCAACCACGCCTAAGGTCTCATAGATTAAACTCTAATCCTGCCTAAAATAATTTTAATTTGAGGGTAGGTTGGTAGAGATCCTGATGCATAATAAAATCGAATCGGATGTATGCGCGCCCCAAGCTTAGTATTGCGCGCACAAAAATATAGCTAATCGAAAAAAAAAGTATCATATAGACTAAAAGAATTTCAAGTGCCGCGGCTATTGAGAATTCCCTCTTGCTTTTTATTGCTCAATAGCCTGACGATAAGAAACATAGCCATGGAACAAGGCGTGTTTTTCTTTTAAACTTCTGAAGCATAGACTATCCATCAGGTTTGCACGTGTTCAGTAAAGTTTGACTATTTTGGAAATTTAACATATTAGTTCAATAACATATTTGTGCAGGTATTATCAAAAAAGGAATATGTAATTAATTTACTTAGACTATCAGTTCACTTTTACAACAGAAACATCTTATTAAATTGAAAGTAAACCAAGAAGACTCCAAGATATATATATATCAATTTATAGTGTGTAAGAAAAGTAAGTATATATATATACATACTTCGCACGAGTGTTTATATTAAAACTACATAATAAAATTTACATTCTAATATTTTTGTTCTAAAATATTTACTATATTTCTTGTTAAATGAGAATTAATGCAAGAGCAGTGAAATCAGTTTATTACAGCTTGTAAGAACTCTACGACAAACTTGTCTTTGCTTTCATCCTTGGCACTGCTGTTCGTTATGATACTTTATGAAACATATTTATTCTTTTTCAACTGGTTTGGAAGACCAGTTCAAAGTTTTAGAAGCCTGTTATTCAGTAGTTTCATTGGCAAAAAATCTCAAATATGTTTCTTAAACCAGGAAATTAAGTAATGTCGACATAGTTTCTAAACTAAAGTGCTATACTAACAAAACTTTAATTGCAAAAAGAGCCTGTTTGTTTCCACCTGAATATTTATAACTTATAATTCTGTTATTAACAATTATGCTGCTCAGATATCACATTGATATACACAGTACATATCGAAGAACATAAGTGTAGGTTAAGCCTAATAACTACTCTCTGTATATCACATATGATGTTAGTTTATTTAATGATTACCAGCTAGCTTGGATTATATTTGTCAAATTTTACTTTTCAAAACCCAACTTTCTCTGCATGGGGTCAATATTTAAATACTATGAATTCTGCCAGCATAATTTGTATAAAGTGTTGATGTAGTCAAAATAAGTTTAGTGTAAAGCAAAAGTACCACAAACATACCTTCAAAGACTTAAGGCTTAAGTCAGCAAAAACATTTAAATAATATGAATGAAGAATTGAATTAAAGATTATTAAGCAGCTTTTGCATTGCCCTTATTTCTTGAATGAATTTACAAATTTTGTCTCTGTTTTTACTGGCTTGCAACATACAGTGGATAATCACATTTCTTACAGATTTTGTCGTTTCTTAATAACTGTGAACAAACAGTGGATAGCAGTTGTTTTACATATTTTGTCTCTGTTTTCATTGGCTGTGATCAAACAGTGGATAGTAGTTGTTTTACATATTTTGTCTCTGTTTTCATTGGCTGTGATCAAACAGTGGATAGTAGTTGTTTTACACATTTTGTCTCTGTTTTCATTGGTTGTGAACAAACAGTGGATAGCAGTTGTTTTACATATTTTGTCTCTGTTTTCATTGGTTGTGAACAAACAGTGGATAGCAGTTGTTTTACATATTTTGTCTCTGTTTTCATTGGCTGTGATCAAACAGTGGATAGTAGTTGTTTTACACATTTGATCTCTGTTTTCATTGGTTGTGAACAAACAGTGGATGGCAGTTGTTTTACACATTTGATCTCTGTTTTCATTGGCTATGAACAAACAGTGGATAGTAGTTGTTTTATACATTTTGTTTCTGTTTTCACTGGTTCTGAACAAACAATGGATATATATATGTATACTATATATATGGGTGTTTAACCCATGGGACTCACTAATGCAGCTACTGAAAAAAAGTACTTTAAAATAATACGTGTCCATGAAAACTTGAAGTTGAAAAACCGTTTCAAACAAACGCTTTTCGTCGTGTTTAATTCATTTTCTTTCAATCGGTTCAAGCTATTATATATATATATATAATAAAATTTAAAACAATTGTAATATTTAAAAAAACAAAACAAAAAATAGCTCCAGCTAGCTTTTTGTTTCTATTTGAACTAGTATAACAATCTTGTGTAAAAGATCAATAACAACCATCTGAAAGAATGTTGGATAATACTTTAATTTACATTTGCAAATTTTCATACTAACTGAATATGTTAAAACGTTATTTGAAAATGGAACAAGTTAAGTATACCAGTGGATCCAAGTTTCTACAGAAAACCAATGAAATTATCACGCTTGATCCTTCAGGACTTTCCTTTAATTGAAACATTCCTACTATTGTGTAGGTTTGACATTTCCAGTGGAGGATGCTGGTGAACTTAACCAATTGATATTAAAATAGACTTGGTATAGGTCGTTACAGTAAAAATTAAAACGTTGTATAAAAAAGTACATCTTACTTTGTCAAGAAACATTCGTATTAATACTTTCTTGAACGAGAGTATAGTTTTAGATAATTTTTGTTTATGTATACAACATAATTTAAGTTAACTATACCAAAACAGTGAAACAACTGTTAACTTGGACATTTTGAATTTCAAAACAAAAATATTATGATTATGCAAAGAATAATCATATTTATTCTCATAAAATGTTTATATCGTTAACAGATCTAACACTACTTACCTGAATAATCCGGAATCAAACTTAGGAAAGTGTTAAAATTTTCTAGTTTCAATATATGCATAAGATCTTGTTATGTGAACTTGTTGCACTTTTAGAAGATGCAGACAGCTAGTTTTGGTTTGGTCAATCTGCAGTAGATCTTCCGATAGAATGCTGCAGTCTGTCTCTTAATGCGCTCAACCAATCAAAGGAAGCGAAAACCGCACTGAAACAGCGCCCTCTTTTATCGCCTGAAGGGACTCGGCGATTTAAGTGTAATATACATACCTAATAATAATATACCTAATAGTTTGACGTAATATAAAACAGAAAAGAGAAAAATGGAAAGATAGGTTTAAATTATTAATAATTTACTTCATTAATTTGCACATGCTAGTTTGATGAAACATGCATACTTAAATAAGGATACAGTTTCTTTATATATGCTCATCGAGGCAAAAAAGACTGTTTAGCTGTGTACAGAGTATTCTCAGCATACTAAAACCTTGAATCAACAGCTTTCAGATTACGTTTAATAACCATAAAAAGGTTGACGCCAGAAATGTTTAAATTGTGAGGTCCTTAAATCAGAACAAAAGTACAATGACACACCAGATCTATACGCATGATGTCATTATCTGGCCCATGATCACATCACGCATCAGTTGGGTGAAACTATAGTACTTTAGCTACTTGCCCAAAGTTATGCACTTCTTCTATCACCCAGTACTGATTTTCTGATCTTTAATTGAGAAGCTGCATTTAGAATTGATAAATACCAGGGAAAACTTTCACCAATGAAATATAGTTACAAAAGTTCAGTTATCTAAATGGGGTAAAGGATATTTTTTTTCTCGGTCATTCCCCTCTCTCGGACGTTTAAAAGACATTTCCAGCTGATAAAAAATGGAACTTAAGTTCATCCGTAAAAAGGGCCACTAGACAAAAGTTTGCCACACCAATAATGGTCGTTCTTGAGTTTAAGAAATCAAACAGTACACTGCGTGGAACTGTCAGTTTCTCTTTGGTACATTTCATCTAGACGTTACTCAAGAAATGGTGGGAAGGCTTAGTGGTTAGCTTTTGCAGATTGCGGTTCGAAAGGTCCAATATGCTGTCTCGCAATATGTCGTTGAGCATATTCAGCACATTAAGATATTGCTGTGTTATAAAAGTGACAGTCAACTCCACTGTTCATTTAAGGGTAGCCATGTAGGCGACTTCTGCTGCTAACTGCTTTTCCTCCCTTTAATCAGAATCTTTACATTAGGTGTAGCTATGCGTGAACCTTGGGATTTCTGATCTCGTTGTTTAGTCCTAGGAGTTGTATAAGGTGTCATTCAGGTTGAAAATATCAAATGCTCACAGTAATAAGAATCAAGTTATTTAATAAATCTTGATGATCGCATCTCTGAAACATCTTTATAAGTGAGCATGATCTGTTTTGAAAACTAAATGCGCATTGACTTTCGGTTATAAGTATTCATTTTTATTAGATGCGTTTGTACAAATTTGAAAAACAGCTTAAACGAAGCTTCCACAGCTTATTTCTGAGAAAGTAAGAATATTTCAAGTTAAATTATTGCCAACGGCGCTTGTCTTAAAAAATATAATTTTTCAATTTGTCACAAAACAAATAAAAATAGCCAAAAAAAACAGCAAAATGAGAATATATTTGCGAATACACAAATTGTTTTTACATTATAGCAAATCTGAACGATTTTTCAACCAACAAAGCTAATAATTATCAGTTGGAATGTTATCAAAACAAGGCCTTTTACATATGGCGAAAAAGTTCTTTCTTGGTAATAAATTTCTATAACGAAATGCTAACTATATAACTTAATTCACGACCCTTATAGAGTAAGAGTGACGTCTTGCTCTTCACAACGGATGCTAGAGCAAAAATAGTGACACAAGAATTTCTTAAAGTTAATCTAAATTGTGTGTATGTAGTTATATATTATATTAAAGTGAAATTTCTTATTAAGAAAACAGTAGAAATGTTTCAATGAGTAAACTGATACTTTTTGAGAAATCATAAATCATAAAATGGTGAAACAGTCAATTCCAATTGGATTTTGATGTACATTCTTTAAGAAGAAAATAAAGTGTTAACCTTTTGGATCTTGATGTAGGTTCTTTAAGAATAAAATGAAGTGTTAACCTTTTGGATATTGATGTAGGTTCTTTAACAATAAAATGAAGCGTTAACCTTTTGGATCTTGATGTAAGAGTTGTCAGATTCCATTAACATCAGTAATGTTAAACTTTAGTTCTATCACACTGTATGTAGAAAAAACTAGACCTTGAAAAATAGACACAAGAGTCTTTCTTGGTTCATTTCTTCTTCTTTCAAAATTTGAATATAAATTGTTTAATGCACTTCCTTAAGTTTAAAAGAGTTAAATATATTTTATAGTTCATGTGATATGTAAGTATCTGAATCCTTGCATTTTAACAGCATGAAAATTGCTGTCGAGAGATCAAAAAGCATACCCACTTCATTAGAAAAATTAGTTTGTTGGACAGTTTAACAAAGGATGGCTGATCAGATTTAACGGATCAGGCTTTACCTCAACAAACTTTACATTTATATATTCACGTTTTAATTATAACATTTTGTGAGTACTTTCTTTGTGTTTATTCAGTCTATGTAGAATTGAACATGGTTTGCGTGCCATAACTTCTAAACCGACGTATCCAGTTTGGTAGAAAACAATTTTCTTGTGATTCATGAGATTATCTAAGCTCATATTTTATATGAAAGCAGAATGTTCATTATGGACTCATTAAAACATTCTATTCTCAAATATAAAACGTGTTGTACGTTTGGAGTTCCCTGCAATTACCATGTCAGATATAACCGGAATGCATTTCTTCATCCGAGCGTTCTATTCTTCGTGAAGCTTGTTTCATAATAACCAAAGGACTGAGAAATATTCGTTTTAAATGTTGAGTTGAATACTAACCCAAACAAAATCCCCCTTTCTTCCTATCTAGGACTAATTAAAGATATATATTTAGATGTATCTTTTGATTTTACACAATCACCATGCAATAATGCTAAAGTCAAGAGTGGTTTTCTTATCAACTTGCATGACTTGCACGTTTAAAATACAAGCAATGACTAACAAGTCTGGAGCTACAGACCGAACATTTGAATCGAGGCTACTTTACATTATTTCAATAATTCAAGTCTACAGCTAATAATAATGTATTTATAAACGCTTGTTTGTGCCCTACATTTACAAGTTTTGTTCACATATTGAATTTTCTCTTAACATAAATCGTTATAACTCCTTAGTTATCTATCATCACGAAATTTCATCATACGAAGATAAAATTAAACTTGAATATCGCCACAAAATTTCAATATATCTGGTTTAAGCATACAACATTGAGCGCATTGTAAATCATTTGTGATCCTTTGAACGAACAACATCAAAAAATCAAGCAAGAGATTTTCAAAACTCACAACTTTGCTGATTGGGTGTGAAGGAATATGCAAATTATTTTTAACATAAATACATATTACATACACTTAGATGATAGACGCAGCCACACGCTATAGTAACTACGTTCACAATATTCATGATGTCAGAAAAACAAGTAGGTTCAAGAAGTCTTCATACAAGATAATAAAAACCCTATAACCCGAGCGCTTTCGAAATGTGGACCTCTTTTCTTCATGGGCAAACTTCAGTTTTTATCACGTTCATAATATATCAGGAGATATAACAAAATACGTAATTTGGGGATGTTATAATATACTTATAAGTTAATTACTTTTATATATAACATTAACAAAAACATACACAAATAGCAGATGTTCGAATGGTGAGCATTTTTCTGTTCCAAAATTCTTGACATTTGTGAACTATAATTTCACAATTTCGGGTAATTTTATGATGAACACAATTTTTATTTAGGGATTCCTGAAAAACTGTTGCTATTAGATAAAACGGTTGGTGTATCGGTACGTGGATATAACTAATACTAATAAACAAATACTGTAGATATTTCTAAACAGACATTACAGGTTATAATCATATAGCTATTAAAGTTCGTAAATAACTTTTAATTCTTAACTAAAATTTATCTTTTATTATCCTTTTTGGACTGAAAATTTTAATTTGAACTAAAAATTAGAATTTTCAGTCCAACAAGGATAATAAAAATAAAATTTTAATCCTTATCTTTTCATTTTCCAACATATTAATTTATTATATATATTAAAACACTTATATTTATCTTACCGAGTTAGTAACAACACTGGTACCAGTGCTCTTCAGAGCTAGAATCTGCTAAAATAAGACAAATTAAAACTTACAATCAAGTTTTAATTATTTAAAACAATTAAGATTTAATATATAATACCGCATTATACTGCAAATAAACGAAAAGCTTATATCACCTTAAAACAAAATAATTACATAAAATTAAACACATAAACATTAAAGTTTAAAACAAACTTAGAAATTGGTGCAATCTTTATGTTAAGGTCTGTAATAAATTAGATGATCAAATTACATTTAATTTTTTCATAAAAGTTACACATACAGCTTTCCAATGTGGATTATGAATAACATTTTTAAAATTATAATTAATGAAGTCTTTCACATTAAAGAATTTGTCCCTTCAGGTCCTAAAATTACACCAATTTCCATGATGGAAGTATTAAGTATTTTAAGAACTTTTTAATTAATGTTTATTTGTATAATATATGACATTAGATTTTTTAGTGGTTACTAATCTACTTAGATTTAAAAAGGTTACCAGGTTATTTTATAATTACAAAACATTAGCTTTAATTTATTCCCAGTAACCCAATCTATTTGGTGTTGAATGAAATTAACATTGATTAAGAGAAGAATAACACGTTTAGTATTTTTTTCGTGGCTCTCTGTATGATCAGCAATGTTAAATCCTCCATCAGTAATA